CGGGCACGACCCAGCCCTGCCCCTCAGCGCTGCGCCCCGGGAAGGGGCTCGGTGTTGGCACTGACAGCAGTGTGAGCCCTCCTGGCTGCCGCCTGCCCTGCAGCCTGTGCTGGGCATCATCTCCGGGCTGGGGCTGGGGCTGCAGCTGCACACTGAGCACCAAAACAAGGAGTCCGGTGGCACCTTAAAGACTAACAGATTTATTTGGACATAAGCTTTTGTGGGTAAAAACCCACTTCTTCGGATGCATGGAGGGAAAATCACAGATGCAGGCATTATTATACTGCACTAGAGCAGCCCTAGCCCGCTGATGGCAGGAGGTCAGAAACTGTCTGGTGGCAAGTTGAATTTGACCCAAATCCACAAGCTAAATATATAGTGAAAATAGTCACAATTTTTCATTCTTTCTTCCAGCCAACTCCATTCAGTGCCCAGGGCTACATGGGCCAGGCAATATATAGGCCTGGTTGACATATCCTATCTCCTAGAACTGGAAGGGACCTCAAAAGGTCATTGAGTCCAGCCCCCTGCCTTCAATAGCAGGACCAAGTACTGATTTTGCCCCAGATCCCTTAGCGGTCCCCCTCAAGGATTGAACTCAAAACCCTGGGTTTAATAGGCCAATTCTCAAACCACTGAGCCATCCCTCCTCCAGGGATATCATAAGTCACAGCTACATTACTCAGAGCTGTGAAGTTTCATGCCCAGTGCACTGTAGTTAGGTTGACCTACTCCCCACTATAGATGTAGTAGAATTCTTATGTTGATCTAGGTGATGCCAGCCTCTCCATGAGGTGGATTTACTATAACAACAGAAAAACCTCCTCTGTCATAGTAGCAAGTTTCTGTGCTACAGAGACGTTGCTGCAGTGTTGCAGCTGTAGTGCTTGCAGTGTAGACATACCCACAGAGGGAAAGAGTTGATTTATATCTGCTAACAGGATCACCACAGACTCCTTTGCCTGCCCTTGGGCAATAATCCCACCTCCCCTGCTTTCTAGGGGGGCAGGCAGGGAATGAGAGTTATTGCTACTATTATTTATTTGTTAATATTGTTTGTTTATTTATACAATGTCCTACCCCCAAAAGTTAGGTACTTGCCCTGAGGAGTTTACACTCTAGGACCGCAGAGTAAGGAAAGAGCATTTTGCTCTCATCTTCGCACTGGTATAAATGACTACACAAGTCACAGGACAGTGGAGAATTTTACTCCTTCTTTATAATGTAGCATGCAACTGGAAACATCACATTTGTACACTGCATACGTGTTGTAGACCTGAGGAAGATCTCTGTGTAGCTTGAAAGCTTGACTCTTTCACCAACAGAAGCTGGGCCAGTAAAAGATATTACCTCACCTACCTTGTCTCTCTAATATCCTGGGACCAACACGGCTACAACAACACTTCAAAAAACAGTTAAAATGACAAGCGATAGATGACAGATAGTTATTTTCTTACTCAGTAAGAGATTCATTTTTAAGACATCACACGATTCCCATTCAATTGCATCACTCACTGACAACAAAGGACAACTATAGCTGTGACTCTGTAGGGTCTGTTCCCTGGAAAGAAAGTGATGTGGGCCTTGAGTACAGATATTGGGGACTCTGAGATGGAGATGAGTGAGTTGAAAGACACAAGGGATATTAAGACTGCAACCCTGGAGAAGCAGGTGTAAATGAAACTATTTGTTGTTATACCAATATTGTACACTAGTGTTTTGGGTGGGAGTGGGGGAGTTGAAGGGAGGGATTTTAAAATGTAGCACTTGTGAGAAAGCAATTAAAAATTTGAAGTCCAAAGTCCCAATTATCGCTAAGCACACTCAGTGTAT